TATGCCTTGTAAAAAGGGTATTGTCCTCAGGACTTAGAGGTCTTTGTGTTAGTTGGGAAATTTGGCCACTCTCTTTAGACTTAGGGAAATTTTGGTAAAGGGACAGATTGCTCTCTCTTTTGGTGCCTGTGGCTTCAGTGAAGAATGTATAGCTTTAATGAGCTTATATTTTGTTTAAAAAAAAATCTCAGCAGTTTCATGTGTTCAAGACTCCTATCTCGGTGCTAGAATGGATGGATCTCCTTGTTGTAACAGGGTTGGATTGGGTTTCTACTTGGGTTGTAAAATCCCCGAGCATCAGCTGGTTCTGACCTGGTAAAAAAATCATCTCTACTGCTGATTTTAGAGGAAGAGGCAGGTCTCTGACCCCAGAGACTTGTTCTTCCCTATCTTTCAGTTACATGGAGGATTTGTGCTTAATTTGACTGAGTTCTTAGGGGCCTGAATCTTTTTCTGATGGCTTGCTTTTCCAGGCTTTTTTTTTTTTTTTTTCCTAGTGGTTTGTTTCTTTCATCTCTTATAAGCATTCTCATGAGGATTGCTATTCTCAGAGTTTATGGATGGGTCTCTAGGACATGACCTCATCCAGGAAACAAAATGTTCCAGTGCATAGACCTATAGCCAGTGATGAAACAGGAAGTGTTAACTTGTAGCATAAAAGATGAAAGGAGAAGATATAATTACCAAAACTTTCTAACACCCTGGCTTTTTCATGCAGTAGTCAGTTAGGAATCAGTGCAGTCTACAGCTTGCATTCATGGAAAACCTGGAGCCTAGATTACCGTTCTTCAGTAAAATTCCATTACTGAGAAATAGATGACAAAAAAAGGATTGTTGAGCTGGTTCTGTTGGAGTAGGAAACAACAAAGAATGTGACTAGCTTCAGCCCCGGGGGTTTAATTTCTCTGATGATAACTGTGAGGCTTTTTTCCTTAGGTTATTTTTTGTGACCTAAGGACAAGAAGCTTTTGATTCCAGTACATATTATTTGGACTGCGAGAAAGCAGCGATTGCAAGGGGTACCAAAGTCACATCTAAGCATTTTCAGAGCAATGGCACGACTACCTGGTCTGCTGTTTCAGAGTGACCAGAACACCAGAAAGATGCCATCTGTGGAGTTTTATGGCTGCAGAACTATGACTCATTCTTCAAGTGAATAGTGACTGTCTCCAACAAGGCACTGTTGAAATTAGATTTGGACCTCCTTTCTTGCTCAGTTGGAAGAGGAGAGAGAGGAAGAGGGAGAACAAGAACCTAAGGATAGTGAACTGTCTCATTTATTGTCAGTCTAGGGTAGAGGATTTCAGACTGTATGTAGCAGAACCTCTGTGCCTTAAGGATTAGGGGGGAGTATAGCGGAAGTCAAGAAGAAGAGAGATAGGGTTTCAGGTCTTACTTATCTGTTTCAAAAAGAGTAATTCTCCTTTGATTTGTTTTATTTATTTGGTAAAGAACTTCCACATCTTTAAAGATAAAAGTGAGAAAACTACTGTGCTGGAAGAAACTACTGGGACCAACAGAGCCGCCAAGCCCTAGGGAGAGCTCAGGAGAGAATCTTTGGTGTAACTGCTGGAAGAGGCAGTTGATACGCTACAGCTTGGGCCCCGCATCAGACAGACTGGCTCTGTATGGAATTAACTAAACTCTACAATACCAGTGTCTCTCTGATGCATTCAGCTTCTCTGTGCCCGAAAATGCCATGTCTAAAGGGAGAGCATCTCCTTCCCCAGGATTCCCAGCTGCAACTGGGAAGAGAACAGAAAGAGAACAGCTCCAGCTGCAACCAGGAAAAGAGACTGGGCGCAGCAGGTCTGCCAAGCAGATCCGTGGGCAGCTCTGGAGTGAATGCCTGCTGGAGTTCTCCGGCACATTGGGCATGATCTCTACACTGGGCACCTGGCCAGGGGGCTGCAGAATGGGCGGCAGTGGACAGAAGGTCATTGGGAAGGGAAAGATGTTCATGTGTGAGGCAGGGCACGCCAAGGTTAAACTGCTGTATCTTGATCTGAAGGAAAGGGAGGCTGCCCACCTGTCTGTTTCTGTACCAGATCAACTCACAGAGTGCTGGAAAAAGTTTGAAAAAGAAAAACCAAGGGAGGTTGGTCGCAATGTGGAATGTCAAACAGCTCACCGGAGAGACAACCACAGGATACATGAAGTTCACGGCCTTGTAATCCCCCAAACCTGGAACTGCCAACTATAGCCAACACTAGTGGAGACATGTGAGAAGGAGGGGGCAGCTGGCTCACCCGGCATGTCTAAACCATTCCTGAGTTTCGAACCACAGCACTAATGGTCAGGTTCAGATAACAACTGTTTGTCCTTCTCCAGCCTCTCGATCCCTGTTCAGTCTGATGAAATCTGAAAAAGTTCATGCTCTACTCCAGGGAGCTCTGTGCTGCCACTGAGCTCCCTGCCCAGGGCCCTCGGGAACCCCAAGTCAGGGGTCCTAGACACACCTTCTGTATGAGCCTGGGCAGAACGGTCATCAGGGCCGCCACCTGTGGGTGTTAAATCTATACACCTGCCTCCCACAGCAGAGTGGGCCTGTTTAGATCCCAAAGCTAAGAAGTAGAATTAATTTAGATAGAAGATAGTGCATGGTTATGTCTCCTGTGCATCGGTGCCTCCTGAGACACTGCAGCCAGACATACGGCCACTGTCAGGACAGACAGTGCTCTAGAAGGACAGTGATGCTTGGTTTGACTCTTTTTTGGGAACAGATCTTCTAACTCATCTCCAAATTCTCAATCCCTCCTCCAGACATTCTCCATTCAAAATTTATTGGCTTCCACTCTTCCCTCAAGCCACTGCTATGAGAGGTATATATATATGTGTGTGTGTGTGTGTGTGTGTGTGTATATATATATATATATATATATATATATATATTTAAGGATAAAGCATTTCTTTTCCTCTAAATCTTAAGCCTGAGTAGGGGCTGAGCCCTCAAATTGAGGACTGAGAGAGAAGAGTGCAGTTGGTGAAGAAAGGCTTGGCTAAAACACAGATTACTCTCTTCTCCAGTGTTTGTTTATAACCTAGAGTTGAAGAGCTCACAGCTTTCTGGGATGACTTCGTTCTGTTGAGGTTCCAACCTGCCCCATCAGTTCCCATTGCCAAACAGAGGCAGTTTGGGTCACGCTTGTCCCTCTTAAACATAGCTAGCAGAATGGGAAGGCCAGGGGCTGCAGCTGAAAGTCAAGGCCTAGTAGAGAGTCCTTATTTGGGTATGTACGCTTCACCTAGCAACCTCTCCTTTGCCTTGCACTTAGCCTGCCCTCAGACAGGACTCTCTTCACCTCCTCACTAAGTAGGGTCGTCAGTAAGGCCATCCAGGGGAAGGGGGGTTCCGCATAGGGGAGAGGAGCGGCCTCTGTCCTGTGGTGACTCGGGTAGGAACTCCCTTGGGGTGTGCGAATGGATGCAGAGTAGAAGGACCCAGCCAGCTAGCTGTAGGTAGAGGATGCTGCCCAGTGTCCCCGTAACACCAGAAGCTCCTTCTTCATGATGGAGATAGGACTTGGGGAGCAGGTCGGGCGAGATGGAGCAAGTGTTCCTCCAGCACCCTGGCTCTTCGCCTGTTTCCTTCGGATGAAATTCTCCACATCATCCTCCCGAGTTTCACCCCTCCCCTCTCCACCCCCGCCCCGCCCTGTGCCCATCCTTGCTGGCCACTGGGTCCATCGCCCAGGAGCCGCCTCCCCTTTCTCCTCCCCTGCGGTTCTTTCTGGTTTTCGTTGGCATCTGGCCGGGCACAGCCACCACCCTCCCCCTCACTCTCCCCACACCCCTGGGCTCCGCAGAGGTCCCGGTCCCCCTTCCCCTCCCCCAGCCCAGCCCGCCTCTGCCAGGGGCGGAGGAGACCGGAGGATGCATTCCTTTAGTCCCTTCGCCGCCTGCCCTCCCTCCTCCGGGGACCCGAGGCTCTGAGCTGTGCCTCTCTTCCCGGTCTCCCTACAAACTGGCCCCTGCCACCCCATGAAGAGTCAGCACCCTTTAAGAACGCTGAGGTGCCCCCACAGCGCTGACCTACATAGCCCGGTCCAGGGCGGGAGGGGGCCCCTAGCCCCCTCACCCCGGGCCCCGCCTCCGTCCTCCCCCCACTCGCTTCCTTCACCTCTCTACCATGACTAACCCAAGCAGGTTTAGTTCCTGACTGAAGCAGAGGGGGCTAGGCGAGACACCTTACCTCCAATTCGGAAAATCAATTCTCAGCCCAGGAAAGCTTTGGGTTTTCCATGCCTCCTCCTCCCCAAATATCTTCAGTCTCGCTTTTGCCCAGTCTCCCCCCGCGACTCCCCCTCCTCCGCTCCCGTCTGGGCTTCTTCCCCAGCTTCTGCCGCCGTCGGGGACCCTGCCATCCGCGGGCCCCCTCCGCCCAGTGTTGTTGTTTTGCTCCAGAGAAGCCCCCCGCCTCCCTGCCCACGCCCCCCTCCGCAGCCTCACCCAGGCCCCCTTCCCTGCCCACTCGGAGCTCCGCCGCGGGTGGGGGGCGGCCGGGGAGCGGGAATGTTTGCATACATCAGTTCGGGGGAGCGCACTGGCTACCCAGCCCCTCCAGACACACACACACAAACAGCCGACACACGCCCTGACTGAAACAGCGACAAATCTCACTCCGCCCCCAACACACACTGACACAGACATACACACAGATACTGACACAGAAACGCAGCCAGACAGCAACACAGACGCGCACACCCAGACGCACCCGGGCCGCGGCAGACCCAGAGCCCGGGCGGCCCGGGGCAGACCCAGACCCCCGGCTCCACACGCAGACACGCCGGACGGTGTGCAAGCAGGGGCACGCGCGGCACACCCCGCGGTCCACAGAGACGCGGATGCTCGGAGGCAGACACAGGCTGTCAGGAGCGGCTGGCGACTCGAACCCCCGCTCGCAAACAAAGCCGACGGGCTCCCTCCGCCCCCTCGGCCGGTCGGAGCCCCCGCCCCGGCCCCTCCCCACCTCCCCTGGCGCCGCCCCCTCCCTCACTCACCGTCCTGGGAGAGGTTGGCCCCGCCGGGCGCCCAGCAGCAGGCGAGGAGCAGGAGCAGGGGCAGGGCGGAAGGGGCCCCCATCGCGCTTCCCGGCCGGCTCCCTGGCAGGGCGCTGGCGAGCCTGGGTCCCTGGGGGCTGGAGCTGGGGAGAGGGGTAGACGACGCCACTGACCGAAAGGGCGCCCCCGAGCCGCTTCGGAGCCCGGGGCCGAGGCGGGGACCGGGAGGGAGCCGGCGCTGCTGCAGTCGCGGGGATTAAATAGGGCGCTCGGAGCAAACCATTCGGTTGGAGGTGGAGGGGGGGTGACGGGGGGCTGGGCTGGTCGCGGGGGGGACCGGCTGCCGCATTCCCCACTCCCCCCGCCCGCCGCGCCCCCTCCGCGCCGTCGTGGTGCCTTCCACCCTCTCCCCCGGGAGCTCCACCAGCCCGGCTCGGGCGTGGAGCAGAGGGAGCGAGCTGGCTCAGCAGTGGGACCCGGCGCCCACCCCTCCTAGACTTGGGTGGAGGGAGGGGAGTCGGGCAGGGCCTTGGGCCAGCTGGCGGGAGCTGCCACTGCAGGCCTGGGCAAGGGCGTGCCCACTAGCCCGAGAGCTTCCAGCCCCGCCCTCCTTCCTTTGGCAACTGGGGATCCCCAGGAGTGGGATGCCCCTAGGGTGCCCCTATCAACAGTGTGCCCAGGGACATCTCTGCAATGGGTAACCAGTTACCCTGGTCTTTTTCCAAAGCACTAACATCCCTAGTTCCTCTGACGAAAGAGCCCCTACTTGGACGTCCAGCAACAATTTGTGGCCCCAGGCAATTTCCTTTGAAAGGCATCTTCCAGCAATCCCCCAGGCCATGGGAATCAACACTTCCCTCAATCCCTCAAAGAAATTGCTCCCAGTCTAAAAACAGCGATTTCCCTTCAGATTCTGCCGAACTGAGCAGCCTACAAAGCAAGTCAGTGGTTTTCCCCCTTAATCCTTCCTATTCCCCGACTTCGCTCCCAACCTGTTCCAATATGTTTCTTCTTTATAGTTCAAAGGATCTTGTCCTTCCTTTTTCAAGTTTTAGTGAGTACGATGCTAGGAGAAGGTCTGATCTACAGATTCTCAGGAAGCTACTCTCTTAAGGACCTTATGTGGCTAAAGCAGTTCTTGCCCCTGAGGCCACGTATAAGATGAATGAGAGAAGCAGGGTTTCTGTACTTGCTCTTGGCTCAAGAGTTCCAAGCCCCTGGGGTTTGCTTTTTTTTAAAATTGTGATTGAAGATCTCTGGAAGAGTCTCGGTAGATCTCAGAAAGAGGCCCTCCTGAGTCAGTTTTGCTCCAACTTACCTCTTAGGTATACACTCCTAAATTTTAGAATCTCCGAGTCGAATAATTTTATGTGTATGAGTATTTTTTAGAAAATATTTGGTACCATCCTTATTACACAGGTGCAGTTGAGACTCAAAAGGTATGAACTGATCTAGCCAAGATTAGACTGACAATAGTAGAAAACACAAGTGTTGGCCAGGACATGGAATAATATGATTTTTGAAATGCCCTCTAGTCTTGGGTAGTATGTATGGATGTGAGAGTTGGACTATAAAAAAGGCTGAACACCGAAGAATTGATGCTTTTGAATTGTGGTCTTGGAGAAGACTCTTGAGAGCCCCTTGGACTACAGAGATCAAACCAGTCAATCCTAAAGGAAATCAACCCTGAATATTCATTGGATATTGACACTGAAGTGCCAATACTTTGGCCACCTGATTTGAAGAGCTGACTCGTTGGGAAAGACCCTGATGCTGGGAATGATTGAGGGCAAGAGGAGAAGGGGACAAGGGGATGACAGAGGATGAGATGGTTGGATGGCATCACTGACTCAGTGGACGTGAGTTTGAGCAAACTGTGGGAGAAGGAGAAGTTCATGGGGTCACAAAGAGTTGGGCACAACCTAGCAATGGAACAACAGCAATCCCGGGAGGCCAGTTTTGTCCCTAGATGAGAGATTCGGGTGCCTGTCTTCTGACTTCTGGGTCCATCCCCTCTCTGCACTGGCTGTGCATCACCATGCTAATCTTTAATGTTTGAGTAATCTTTCCCCCTCTCAGGCAGCTTTTGCAGCTGTCTGTGATGGACTTAATGTCTCTGTCACCTAGTAACTCAAGGACAAGGATGTGGAAAGAACGTGAAGTCGCTCAGTCGTGTCTGACTCTTTGAGACCCCCATGGATTGTAGCCTACCAGCTCCTCCGTCCATGGGATTCTCCAGGCAAGAATCCTGGAGTGGGTTGCCATTTCCTACTCCAGGGAATCTTCCTGACCCAGGGATTGAACCTGGGTCTCACGCATTGCAGGTAGATGCTTTAACCTCTGAGCCACCAGGGAGCAAGGATGTGGAATGTACTCTAATCAGTAAAGCTCTATGTCAATGTTAGTCACTGGTGGAGAGGACAAGAGAGAATATTCTCCAGGAAGATCCTTAAGGGTAGCCGGAAAGTTGCCGCTCTGTTTTTCTTCTCACTGTTTGTGGAGTTTACCTATGGTTTCTGGGAGAAGAGCTCTGCCTACCTCTTGAACATTTCTTGAGTGTCTGGGTGGTTATTAAGAATTATTCATAAGACAGTTTTTGACCACCTTGGATTGTCTGACTTGCCTGCCTTGACTCATCTCAGTGACTCCAAACTGTCCTGCTGCATTGGGGTTCTCTGTCTCCCTGGGGGTTCTCTGATACCCTGAAATCTCTGAGTCAGAGATGGAAGGGGAAGTGTGCTTGAGAGATACAATAAGGACACCTGGTATAAGAAAGAGGAGAGGCTGTGCTATGGGATAGGCAGGAGGGAAGATACAGGGAAAATGGACCTTCTGACTAAGGTGGGATTAGGTTGGCGTGAATTTAGTCATGCAGCAAAAAGGAACGAGTGGGTGTGTTTTCAAAGAGAGAATGAAGCTTCAGAGAAGAATCATGCTATCCTAGTTAAAGAGTCTTGATGGATAAAGAGTATTATCTTTGGAGCTAGAAGTTTGAAAGATCATCTAAGTGGGATTAAGAGAGGACAGGTTAGTGTTGGGGGGAATGAGAGTGAGGATGGGTGGGATTGGGATGCTAGGATGTAGGATTAGGTCCCAAGCTTCTGTAACTAATCACCTTTTCCATCTGCTGCTCTGCTGATCCGCTTCTGTCTGTCCTTTAATTCTCTAATGACTCTGCTGGTCTGGCCCCACCCTCTACTGTAACTGCAAGGGAAGAGAACCAAGGGTGGGAGGAGAGGGGGAGAGCTTTTGTGGAGAGTATTAAGCATGAGCAAATGAGACTCTGGAATGCTCTTTTCCTACTAGATCCTTCTCTCTTTTCTGCATTATCAGCATCATCTTGGCAGCACTTTAGGGTCTGGGAATAGGAAGCAGTCACTGGCTTTTAGAAATACAGGATAAAAGAGTATTAGAATTGTAAGGGACCTTCAACATTACCTAGTGAATACCCCTTGTTGAACAGATAAAGAGAATGAAACATGGAGGACTTAGGTGACTTCTGTGTTCACACAGCTGTGGAGTAGAGGGTTTAGAGTATTGGATAAATAAGGCAGACATACCCATGAGAGCAGGAGGGACAAGGAGAATCGCTTTTCTCTGGGAGCGTCCACTTTGAGGAATTCTCACTCCTGCCTCTCCCAGAGTGAACGGGTCACGTCTCCTGCAGAGGCAGATGGACCCATTTGGAATAGCTCCTTACCTCTAACCACCCTAACGCCTTTTGTGTCTGTGCACCCAGCCTCTTACAGGCACCCCATTCATTCGGAATAGAGTTTTACAAAGAAAGCCTGAACTACAAGGATTTTCCTCAGCCCCAAAACAGGTGAAATAGAAGGATCCATGTTACATTGTGATCTCTATGGTTACTTGTCACTCTAAAATGCTATGATACACAATCAGTGTTTCCCAGAGACTGGCACAGAGTCTGGAGTGGGTTGTCTGTGGGATTCGAGAACCGGTCACCAGTGACAACTGGGGGGAGCAGAGGAGGGGAGTGGGGGGAGGCGAATGCTGGCTCCTGGTGCCCTTGTCCACTCAGCAGTAGCCTGTGTGGCTGGGGGTGAGGAATGCGGCACTGGCACCGCTTCTGGGCTGGACGCAGCTGTGTGGGCCCCGGGCATTCCTTCCCCCACGTGGCGCCTCTTGGGGAGGGAGGAGGGCGGGAACTTGGCCTGAGTGGGGTGAATACTACATATTCATCTAGGAGGGGCGTGACAGCACCTGCAGCAAAAAGACTCAGAACCCGGCTCAGTTCTGCTTTGCCCTCTAACCCTTGGCTTCTGTATGACTTTTTCTTTATCAGTAAATTCTACATAGGTTTCCACATTTACTTTCCTCTTTAATCTTCCACCCAAGTAAACCAGATTCCTCATACTGCTTCTTACTTCTATTATCCTGTTTTAATTAACCCTATCCTTAATAAAAACCTTTGTATGTGTTTTAATTCTAACCTTAATTGAATTCCAATTTCAACCCTAACCCTAATCTTTTATAGACTCTAACTACTAATCCTAATACCAACTCCAATTTAATTGTTAATTTTAAGCAGCATCTTAATTCTAACCTGTTGTAAGCCACCAATTTGGGACAGCAACTTGTTCACAATAAAAATGATCACAGGTACCATTTTTTGGGGGGAAGAGGGTGGGAGAAGCTTTCCTGGTAGCTCAGCTGGTAAAGAATCTGTTTGCAATGCATAAGACCTGGGTTCAATCCCTAGGTTGGAAAGATCCCCTGGAGGAGGGCATGGCAGTATTCTTGCCTGAGAATCCCCATGGACAGAGGAGCCTGGTGGGCTGTAGTCTACGGGGTCACAAAGAGTCGAACTCAACTGAATGACTAAGCACCTACCATTTTTTTGAGAATCTCTTGTACGCCAGACTTTGCACTGGGTACTTTACTTACACGGTATGTCATTTAATACCTGAAATACCCTAATGTGGTTGAGATTATTAGCTGCATTACAGATATGAGGAAACAAAGGTTTAATGAGATTATGTAATTTGTAAACAGTGACTCCGAGCCCACTGTTGATGTTCATTTCTCTTTCTGCTAACAAATACTTTCTGATTGGGCTTTTCC